GGGGGGGGGGGGGGTTTATCTGAATTTGGTGTAGTTGAGAGGATGTATATTTGTTATGAGTAGTTTAGTATGGAACGTGGGGTGCATGTTTGATTAGCTAAAGAAGAAGGGAAGGGAAAGGAAGGGAAGGGAAGGGAAGGGAGGTTGGTATATTTGTTTTTTGTTTTGTGAAAATGAATGGTTGCATTTTTCAAAGGAGGCAAAAACCCCGGGAAAGCATACATGGAAAACTAACTATTTTTTTAAATTTATTTTTGATGAATTTCTTTGTGGGAAAAATCGACCTATAGCAAGTTGGTCTCAATCTTTAACATGGAGTACGTAGTCTCTAATTTTTTTATAACGACTGGTCTCAAATGACCAAAGTTGTTTAAGCCTCTACATTTTCGGCCAAAAATGTAGAGGAAAAAGAGATGTTGGAACAGTATCTCTGTCATTTCAGTACATGTTTGCAGTGCATTAAATGGTGGGAGGGCAAAAAGGGAATGTGGAATAAATTGAGATATATAATCATTACATGTGTATTGTATGAATAGTGCTTGAAATGACAGGAAAATTCATTTTTTTGGTGAGAATGTGCAACAAACACATACTAAATATTTGTTAAATTATTATATGATCGTAACTGAAATATGTCTAGATGTAATTTCTTTTATGAATCAATATTCTAGGTTAGAAAGTAAAGTATAGTTTGATAAGTAGGGCATATGTGGACTATGTGACGGTTTAGCAAATAGTGAAAGATACGTGTAATTAGAGACTGATTGTAAAATTATAGGAATTCAGAACAACCACAAAGAAAGTACAAGAACACTTATCTCTCACTCATACAGCAGCTGATCCACTCGAATCACAAAGAATTGAACGTTGAACCAACAGAAACAACTACACAGCCACGAACACTTCACGAAGATATTTACTCAGAATATCTCCACTAAGGAATCACTCTATTACACAATACAAACTCAAATCAGGGATTTAATTTACAGAGAGAAATCAGAGAGAAGTATTCAACGAATGGCGCAGCCCCAGAGAGAGAACGAATGAAAAATGAAACCCTAGAAATCGACTCTGGAGATAATGCCAAATGAAATGGCATTAAGTATTAGAACCATCCAGAAGTCAATCCAACGGCCACATTCTGTCCACGTGTCACATATCCAGTGATAAGCTTGAATAAAAGAGTTGCATTTGCCAAAACACGATTTTACCAAATTTGGAAGCAGCCAATTGAACCCGATTCAATTCCAACAAACAACAACAATAATAATATGACTTATTTTTTTAATTTCATTTGCTTAGAAATTCTTACACTCTTTTGTTGTAAAATAATATAAGAAGTCTTTCTAATTTATTTTGGTCTAAAAATTGTCTATAATTTATGTTGATGCGTCCAAGATACGAATAAAATGGATTATGTTTGGTGTACAAGGTTTTCTTGCCAGAATCTATACAGGGGATGCGTTGCCTTGTCATTAGGCAATGGTCCAAAAAAAAAAAAAAAAAATCTACCACACAAGCATCACATGTAAAGAATCTGGCAAGAAAATCTCTGTGCACAAGGTTTTTTTTCCCTAAAAACAAGTAAATTAGAGCAAGGTTTGTTAAACTTAATATTTTCACTCTACCTCAAATTAGAACTACCTGAAGACTCGTGACTATTCTACCTTAATTTTTTAAGATTAAATACATAAAATAATGATAATCATCTTTTTTTAATGCTTATAACCAATTTAAGTGACAATGGACCCTTTATTAATTGGAAAAAGAACCAAAGGTCCATTATCACTTAAAGTGTAATAATCAAAATGAATAATGAATAGCATTATTCAATATACATAACTCCTGGATTACTCTTATGCAAATTCAAATAACAAAGAAAGTGAAGGAAAAAATAAAGAGAAAAAAATCGTAACTCTCGTACTTTAAGTTTATATTTTCAGAAATATCAAATTTTAAGAAAATTTTCATAATTCAAGGTATAATTCAAGTTTTTTTTTTTTTTTT